TGTTACACAGTATCCCTGTGAAGTTATAACATGTTACACAGTATCCCTGTGAAGTTAGAACATGTTGCACAGTATCCCTGTGAAGTTATAACATGTTACACAGCACCAATGTGAAGTTATAACATGTTAAACAGTATCACTGTGAAGTTATAACATGTTACACAGTATCCCTGTGAAGTTATAACATGTTACACAGTATCCCTGTGAAGTTATAACATGTTACACAGTATCGCTGTGAAATTATAACATGTTACACAGTATCGCTGTGAGGTTATAACATGTTACACAGCACCAATGTGAAGTTATAACATGTTACACAGTATCCCTGTGAAGTTATAACATGTTACACAGCACCAATGTGAAGTTATAACATGTTACACAGTATCCCTGTGAAGTTATAACATGTTACACAGTATCCCTGTGAAGTTATAACATGTTACACAGTATCGCTGTGAAGTTATAACATGTTAAATAGTATTCCTGTGAAGTTATAACATGTTAAACAGTATCCCTGTGAAGTTATAACATGTTACACAGTATCCCTGTGAAGTTATAACATGTTTCACAGTATCCCTGTGAAGTTATAACATGTTACACAGTACCAATGTGAGGTTAGAACATGTTAAACAGTATCCCTGTGAAGTTATAACATGTTAAACAGTATCCCTGTGAAGTTATAACATGTTAAATAGTATTCTTGTTATTCACTGTAAATTTCTGATTCCAGGGAAAGTATGTAGAGATTCTGTTTGACAGAGGTGGTGAGCCAGATGGTGGGAAAATTTCAAACTTTTTATTGGAGAAGTCTAGAGTTGTGAGTCAGAATGAGAATGAAAGAAACTTTCATATCTTCTATCAACTGTTAGCTGGTGCCAATTCAACCCTCCGAGGTGGGTACAACATATTCTATCTATCTATTGAAATTCACTACGTTCAATTACCCACCATAGACTCTGGTCAGTCAAAATGACTATTTTTAACTGTAGGCATTAATCAGCGATTCTGCCGGTGACGGAGAGATAGAATCTAGGTCAGGGGCAAAATTCTTTTACCCCTTATGTCACGAACCCACATGACCGAGGCCATATGGCAGCGCCATAGGTAGCCGTCAATCACTCAGTTTTTTTTCTTCGCCTCAAGTGGAGATGAAATCTAGCGAGCTCTGCTGGATCGCCTGCTTTTTTTTTTCCTGTCCGGGTTTCTAGCTTGGGTTGTTGCCGCTGCACGGCATCCGAAATTGTAGCTGGTAGGATAAGTTTTCCTTCCATTTTTTACCCTCGTGTCATTTTCCCCTTTATGTGTTATGCTTTTCCACAACAAAGAAATTAAAACCTGGCGCCACTACGTAACCACACGTTGGTTTCATGGCGGCACCTTTTACAACTGTAATTCGTTTCCCTCATGCATGTCGTCTTTTATTTACAATGTATTTAGCAATATATAGATGTAATGACAGCACCAGGGCTCGCTGTCGTTTTCTTTCCGGTCTTCTTGTGTTTCGAGTCAACCGTGCAGTGGTTATATTCAGAATTTACCAGCATTAAACCCGCATCTGAGATACTTTGTCGTAGCTACGTGCGGGGTTCAGGGTTTTTGTGTGAAGGTGTGTTTTTTTTACTGGAGTTCTGAGGCCTGAGATTTTCTTTCGGAGCCATCAAAATCGCTGAGACTGACCGCGTCACAGCAAGGTCGCGCGTCCAGTAAACAAATCTGTTAAAGTGAGATGCATGTTTTGCATGAGTGGAAAGTCCTTACGCTCGGCTACCGGTACTTTGTGTACCGGGGCATCGAGTAAGAGGCCCGACGTTGGAGGTACCGATATTTTTCTCGGTCTCCCCCGCTGATCGGAGGGCATCCTCACAGTCTGTTTTTTTCAGGCGGTGGTTTACCCGATTTTACCGGCTGCAGCGAGGCTGTGCCCCTGAAGGCTTTCCTCCTATGGGGCCGTTGCGGGTCCCTTTGTGGACCCTTCCTCGCACGGCACCGGGTTTGCCTCCGAGTTGAGGGCTTTGGTCGAAGGACTGTCGGGTCAATTGCGTCACTGGCAGGCCGGGTATATCAGAAGCAGTCAGAGCGAGCTGTCTCCACTGTGTTCCCTCGGTGGGCAAGCAGGAAGAGACACGAAAGCATGTTTGCATTCAAACATGTCTTTTCCGGGGAACCCCCGTTCCCAGTCGCGGCTCTCCCACTATTTTTGGGGGGGAGCCCCGGCTCAGGCTAATTGCACCGGGCCTCCTCTGGAGCCTCGGGAACTGAATGCCATCGGGGTGCTGGCAGCCAAGCCTCCGACCTCGGGGCAGGGCTTTCAGGGCGGAGCACACGTTGACCCCCCCTACTATCAGCCAGCTAGGGTTCGTCACGCGGTAACGGTACAACGGTAGCGAATTTCTTTTTGTTTCCGGTCTCCGCTGTGGGTTTTTGACTTCTTCCTTACCGACCCACGGGCGTCCCCAGAGGGAACCGACTCTGTCATGAGACACACAGTCGAACACGCTTCCTCTCACATATTTAAAGTGAAAGAGGATGCAGTTCACTTGCGTCGGATACAGCCGGTACTCCGGGCGGTCCCTCAGAGTCTTCCATCCATATGACTCAGTGAGCCACGCTTTTGGGGTGAGGCGGAGTATCTTCGATCCCAGTGATATGATGTAGGTACCCCCACCCTTGATCCTAAAGCGACCACCTAAGGTTGCTTCAACGCTTATGGGATCACGGGCGTCAGGATCCTAAGCAACCCCGTCGGCACGTCTCTCCCTGTTCGTCCGAGTGCGGAGTGGGGCGCAGAGCACGCAAGCGGTGTTGATGAGCGGCGTTGGTCAGCCGCGAAGGATGCTTAAGGCCCCCAGATGGGGGATAACATTAGGCAACACTTCCCACTGGACCAAACGCTACCCGGTCGGTGTGCTTTCGGGATCAGACCCCATAGTTTGGGATGAGACCAAAACGCCCCCCAACCGGATTCCAAGGCTCCTTCCCCAGACCCCTGTACCACGTATTTGGCAAACCGGGCAAAGGGGGATAGCCTCGTTCCATGGGTGTTCTTGCCAATTGAAGATGACCCATCCAGCCCTGAGGGCAGAGTTGCTTGAGCGCATTATTGTGCGTGCCCAGGACCTTGGAGGCAGAACGCACCAGCCTCTAAGACCAGGCGACATTTTTACTGGTGGGCCACCGCACATCTACATGCGACACCCCCTAGTGTCGCCTGGCTCTCTTGGCCGGGGCCGCTACTGTGCTACGAGACGTGGCCTTAGACGCACGTGTTATCGCCGACGAGCTGAGCCGGGGTACGTCCCCACCTCAGTGATGTGGACTGGACATCCTACACCCTCTTTGTTCAGGGAATGGTGGGTACAGTCTCGGAGCTTCGGAGTGCAATGAACCAGAGGGTTCAGATCGTATCCGCTAGCCAGTTGGCCCTCCCATGTGCAAGCGGAGGGCACCCCAAGCTCAGAAAACACAGCGCCCTAGGGCATCGTCCGCTAGCCAGAGTCAGCCAGGAAGCAAGCGCTTATACCCTTCCATGGGAGGGAAGGGTAGTGGCGTGCCCCCAGGGAGGGAAGAGCCAGGTGGTGGCTCCTCACCCTCTCTGGGCGGATGTCTACACGGCAGCAGGGGAAGCATGTTTGATGCTCACCTCTGCAACTGGGAGGGTCAGGCACGTGTTCGGTGAGTGGCCAGGTCACAAATTAGTGACTACCTCAGGCCTTGGGGATCTCACCTCATGGAGGGAAGGGAGCAACCCCCCCCCCTCGCAACTGCCGAACACATGGCTACATATCCCTTATTACGCCGGTGTAGTCCAGTTTGGAGACAGCGGGTTACCAATCTGTGGAACGTTCCAGGTGGTGACATCCTGCTCTGGGATACTGCTGAAATCTCCATTTCCCCATGTCAGTGTCTCCCCTGTTGGGCACTGCCAGGGGACTCAATCAGACAGGAAGTAGCAGTTTGCTGGGAAAAGGCGCCATACACAGGGTACATCAGCCAGAACTAAGCCCAGGCTTTACCCTAATGTGTTCGTAGTACCAAATCTACAAGTGGCGGGCGTCCAGTTCTAGACCTAGGCAGACTGAATCGGTACGTGCTCCTCGATCGGTTGCACATGAAGACACCATTCAGGGTTCTCCTCTCCATCCACTGTTTCGACTGGCTAGTCCCACTAGACTTAAGCGGGGGCTACCGGCACATACCGATGCACCCAGCGAGTTGCCATCTCCTTCGAATTGCCCAGCTGGACCAAGTATTTGAATTTTGGGTGCCCCCCCATTCGGGTTAGGCACAGCGTCCTACGTGTTCACCCGAGTGATGAAACAGGTAGTGCTACTGCTTCACCAGATGTCGGTACACCTCAATCCGTACCCAGACTGCTGGTTACTAACAACCCGGGCAAGGGGTTAATAGCCAAACACGTCAGGCTAACACAGGGTTTACTTCACCAGTTGGGCTCGTTAGTAAATCGACAAGTCCCACCTCGACCCAACGTGCAGTTGGTGTCCCTGGGCATGGAGTTTTGACACAGAGGTAAGCCTGGCTTATCAAGCGTGTTGCTTAGCGCTAAGCAGCCCAGCCGAATGCCTAGTCAGCATTCCCTCAGTGTCCCTGCGAGAACTAATGCGGATCATCGGAATGATGACCTCAGTTCAAAGGGTCGTTCCCCAGGCCGCATTACGCAGCCGCCCGGTATAACACTTGTTATAACGCCGAGCTCTCCTATGAGAACTAGATAGGTGGGTTTCGTTCTTGGTACACGTGAAGGAAGCCCTTCCCTGGTGGTCGTCACTGGCCAACCTCGGACAGGGGAGCCTTTGGCCCGCTTACCGCAGGTATGACTCTGGTAACAGATGCCTCCCCCCAGGGTTGGGGAGCGCATCTATTGGGCCAACAAGCCCAAGGATATGGCCCCCGCATTAGTTTCGGGACTACCATATCAACCGGCTCGAACTGAGAGCAGTGTACCTAGCACTACCACGCTTTCTACCCGTAGTTCGAGACCACAGAATCCTGCTCCGCAAAGGCAACGCAGCAGTGGTCTCCTTCAAGAAGGAGGGGGGATGCTTTCCCCATCGTTGTCAGTCCTAGCGGAGCAAAATCCTCCTTTGGTGCCGAGAATACAATGTGGAGCTAACCGCACACCACCTTCCAGGGGTGAGGAACAGTCTGGCGACGCCCTTTCAGGGCGGCTCTGTCTCCAGAACACAGAGTGGCTGATACCCCAGTGGGTAGCCTCCAGGCTGTTTCGGCTGTGGGACGGTCCAAGGTTGGATCGGTTTGCCGCACCCCAGAACGCCAAGCTCCCGACATACGTAACACTCCTGCTGACTCCAGGAGCCTGAGCTAGGGTCGCTTTGCTAGCCCCGTGGACCCACTTAGTTGTGTACGCCTTTCCTCTCTTCCTGCTAGTTCACCGGGCACTGGAGAAAACTTTGACAGGTGCACACCTGCATATTATTATGGGTCGCACCCAATTGGCCAAGCAAGGCCTAGTTTCCACTTCTGTTGGAAATGCTAGTCGAAGCGCCAGCAGTGCTTCCGGACCTACCTTCCCAACCAGACGGCGCACTACCAACGAGCCCAGCAGGTATCACTTACACGCATAGAGGCTCTCAGTAGACCCGCACATACGAAAGCCTTATCTGACCGGGCTGCCAACGTCCTGGCCAGGCTGAACAGGGATTCCACCTACGCGGCCTACATTTCTAGACTGCAAGCATACACTGATTGGTGTAGCGGAAGGGAGATTGATCCATACCATCCCTCTATTGGCCAGGTAGCAGGCTCCTTCGTCCACCTGTTTGACGAAGTGGGTTTGTCCTATGCAGCAATCGTTGGCTACAGGTCGGTCTTGTCCCCCACCACTCAAAACGTACGGGAACAAGACTAGCCGATTGTCTTATTATTAGGTGACTATTTACTGCTTTCCGGATGCCAAGACCCCGTACAAGGGAGCCGCCCAACTGGGACTAGTTGGCTGTGTTGTCTGCTCTAAGCAGACCGCCCTTTGAGCCTCTCCAATCAGCACCACTCAAATTTTTGACGTGGAAAATAGTCTTCCTACTGGTCCTCGCCTCGGGTAGGCGCCAGTCAGAGCTAGGCACACTGTCCTTCGCGGACAGTTGTGCCGCCTTTATGGACGATCAAGTTGTACTAAAGACACGAATCGGGTTTCTCGCCAAGAACCAAATCCCAGGACATGATCCTCAATCGATCGTCATCCCCCGGCTGGCAAATATTGTCGGCCCGGAGGATCAGGAGGAATTGCTTCTCTGCCCGGTCCGAGTGCTGAGTAGCTACGAGAACCGTACCAGGTTTTCCAGATGGGGAACCAAACACATGTTTTTGTGTTACGTCCCTGGCAAACAGGATAAGCCGGCTTCCCCGACTTCCATCTCCAGGTGGATTACTGCGACTGCACTGGAGGTCTATAATACACTATCCTCCTCAACACAGACCTTGCAGAGACACCAAGTATGAGCACATGAGGTTCGTGCAATTGCTAACTCACTAGCGCTAGCGTCAGACGCCCCCCTCGAACACATTCTGAGGGCAGGCTTCTGGAGAACGCAGAACGTCTTCATCAACTACTACCCAAGAGACACCCAATGTATTGAGCAGGGTCTCTTCAGGTTAGGCCCCGTCGTAGCGGGTCAGGCCTTGTTTGCTGACCCAGCCCGAAAGACCGCAGGGGCCTCTGCGCATAGGCGATAAGTCAGTCTCGGCATTTTTGTGGGCAGATTGCCTGTACCACTAGCACTTCCTGGAAGCTCTCAGGTTTCGCTTCTGTCGTCCTACGCCCTCATGCAAACTGTTTCGGTCCTACTTCAAGCTTATCACCCCCAAATTCGGCTTGGGTCTAGCTTTCTCGGGCACACCAAACCCTGTCACCACAGCAGCATTGGCTTCTTGCTTTGGGGACAGCACAGGCAAGGTAAGACACCACCCTTCTTGGGTCTTAACTTAGGTTTTTGAGTTTGTTTTCATCCCAGACTGGGGAAAAGTCTTTCCATATTCTCCTTTTTTTCTATTTGCTCGGAAAAACCCGCCACCAATCGGTGTCTGACTCTGCCTACAGTTCAAAATAGTCATTTTGACTGACCGGAGTCTATGGTGGGTAATTGAACGTAGTGACTTTGGCGAGGGTTCTCCGAACCCGCCTATTCACATAGTTCATGCCCACCATAGACTCTGGGTCCCCCCTAACCACCCCACTCTTTCCGTAGCGTTGGTCTAAGTCCTCGACGCGGAGAGAAAGGAACCAGAGTGATTGTACAGCCGTTAATGGTGCTGCCATATGGCCTCGGTCACGTGATTTGTGACGTAAGGGAAAGAGAATCTTGGGGGTCATGGGGCTTCCCCTGACCTAGATTCTATCTCTTCGTCACCGGCAGAATCGCTGATTAATGCCTACAGTTAAAAATAGTCATTTTGACTGACCGGAGTCTATGGTGGGTATGAACTATGTGAATAGGCGGGTTCGGAGAACCCTCGCCTAAGTTTAAGTTGAATACAGGGAATTCTAACATAACAAAATATATTGTTAATTTTGTGTACTAATATTTACTATACTTTCGTATCTATCTGTACTTTTTCTGCCTTTGTCTACTCTCCCAGGAATGCCTGATCACATATGTCGCCTTATCAGTAAGTCCCTCACACTTAGCTTTAGCTTCCAGCTTTTCAGTATGCTGAGAGCAAGTCTGTACCACCATCTGTTAATGTATACAAGTATGAACAGTTTATGGTACAAAGAAAAAAATAATAAAGCATCATGTTTGGAAATGTTTTGTAGTTTATAAGCATGTTAATTTTTTTTTTGCATTTTCCCAAATACTGTTTGACAGTTTATGTTGCCCTCTTGATTGGTTTTAAATACCTATTAAAGTGTCATAATTCTATGGTTTAGATGTCATTCTATGTCTCGTACATGTGTTAGAATGTATACCAAATGATATGTTTAGATAATTAATACATTAGTCTATTGACAAGTATCTTCTTCCTTTCCTGAGATTGTTCAATCCAATTTGGTCAACAGTTGGCTGTTACTGAGATAATAATGTAGGGTTATCATTTTTGATGAGATATCTCACAGTACTCAATTGATCATGTGGCCTTGACGTCTTGTCAGTCACCAAAGATTAGTGCTCAAGTTTAACATAGAGGTTTGCTCATCTTCTACAACCCTTGAATAGCAAACTCTAAAAATGTTCAAACTTTCAAAATTGATCTCCTGGGCAACTGCTTTGACACAGAGGTTGCTCCCTGTACTTTCGTTATTTTCCCTGTTAAATTTGTGACCTTATAAAAACCAGTGATATGCTTGAAACATCAATACTATGAAATTGAATGCCAGTGATTCTGTACATGTTCATTGTCTTTATTTTCTATTCTCTTCTACATCCATCTTCTTTATTATTATAAAGTATAATCTATAAAATAATGTCTCATGCCCCCATTTCAATATATCTTCCATAGTTGCATGTGCTACGTTTTAACGTCCTAAAAGTTATTCTTGAATGCTGCAAAAAAGTTTTTATGATGCACATTTTTAAATAGCAGCACATGCTAAAAATTTATTGAAAAAAATGGACATATGACTCATTATTGACCCTGTTGACTAATTTATACATACTTTTTACAGAATCCCTGGGACTAACAAGTCCAGATTATTATTACTATTTAAACCAGAGTGGAGTTTACAAAGTTGATGATATGGATGATAAGAAAGAATTTCATGATACTGTAGTAAGTATGAATATCATAACTTTTATTTCACTTTTTAACTTCTGTGTTAAGTACAGGGAATTTTTGTGGTTATCCTGTTTGTATGTATACACAAATTTATTGCTAGTGCTCAAGTTAGTGAATATGGAAATTATGTTTTTGAAGTAGTTAATTATATTTGAGTATAAAAATATGCAAATCATACAAGTATTTCATTTTGATGATGTCAGCAGCTGCATGGAAATTAAAATACATAAATCAATAAAAAATGGCAGAAGAAGATATTGACCCAAAGAGGGCCCTATACCACACTAACTATGTTTATCACATCTCACTACTGTTACGCATGCTGTGATTAGTTGAGACTCAGTCACATGACATTGAATAAAAATGGATATTACATGGTATATCACATGAATGACGTCACTACTGCGCAACGATACTGCACATAACAAATTGACGTTTGCTGCATTGGTGGTGCCCCGGCCGCTGTAGTTTTCGGAGTTGCTTTCAAGGTTTTGAAGGAATTTTATCCATCGAAAATAGACAGCGAACATGCCAGAATGGATATTAAGTAAGATGTTTTGATGTGTAGGGTATTTTTATATGAAGCAAAAAAGTACGGCTTGGTCTACGCTGTGAGTATTTCCACGCGTTCTACGTCGATGCTAACCGAAAACGATCTAAAGCTGTGTGTCTGACTTGTGTATAGAAGCTGTAGTACTTTGGTGTGAAAGTAATTTCAGTCACTTCCACGGCACTCTAGCATTTTTATCTTGAGATTGATCAAATAACTTGCGTTTGAGAATTTTTCAATTCATTTCAAAAATGTTATTCTCGATAAATTGAGTGATTCACACTGCTGAAATACAGTTACTAAAAAGACTATCCATGGCTGAAAATAACATTTACTGAGTGTATTTCACAGTTTTTTTCAGCAAACAATGTATGTATATTATTAAGTAGTGTGAAACTTTTTATAATAAATAAAATAAAATATTTCCTACTTCAAATATAAGTGTTGTTATTTTGTGGGAGAGCGGGTGTGAGTGATGTATGGTAGATGTGATTGTGGATGGTGGATGTCTTTTTGATGTGATAAAATAAATAACACATGGTTATTCGGGCAATATCACAATTTGATATCCCTTGGGCGGGCAACAAATCATGATATTACTCTCATAAGCATGTGTTATTATTTAAATATGCAATTCTGAATATTTTTGCTAGTTTTATTAAAAAATCCAATAATGTGAAATAGGTAATGCATATATGCCATTGATGAACAACAAATATTTAAGATTTTAACATGTAGTAGAAGTACATCCGTGTTTTCCTGAAAGCAATGTGAACATTTAGAGTGAGAGTATAATGTCACACAGATAATATACACACAATTGCAAATCAATTGACCAAGCAGTTTCTGACAAGAATTTATGCCATTTTCCACTGAACCAATATGGCTACCAGATTATTGACTGGCACATGGCTAAATTATTGTCTGATTCAACTAATTTTTATTTGAATCCACTAAAAAATTCATGTTTGGTACAATGTAACAGCATGGTTGTGTGAATCCATCTACCATTGGTTGACTGTTGGCATACCTTTGATGGTTCACACAACATTTCAAAACTGGCAAACCTTGTAAATAATGTCAATTGTTATTATCCCCTCCCCCCACACTAAATTGATGAATTGATGTAAAAAAAACACAAAGAAGATTATTTTAGCATTTTTTGCAGTTTTTCAGAAAATCCAATATGGGGAAAAAAAACACTAAAGTTCTTTTCCCTGAAATGGGTAGTGCATGTGCCGTTCAATAGAAATCTGAAATGGGTAGTGCATGTGCCGTTCAATAGAAATCTGAAATGGGTAGTGCATGTGCCGTTCAATAGAAATCTGAAATTTTCTTAGCTTAATCATGCAGTTTTAAAATGTTCATTTTGATTGACGTTTGACAAACTTGTACAGCATTCTAAATCACTGTATTTGTTATTGTTTGCAGAATGCTATGAATATTATAGGCATACCAAAAGAAGACCAAGACATGGTACTACAGTGTGTTGCTGCTGTATTGCATCTCGGAAATATAAGTTTTGCTGAAGATGGCAATTATGCCAAGGTAGCAGATGATGAGTGTAAGTCATACTATTTCTAAATCTTTCAAAACATGGAGTACAATGAGATTATTACAAGAATAAAGTAATTAATAATAATTAGTAATAATTTAAAGTATGTACAAAGGCAGTACAGCAATCGTATCAATGAACACGTAGCTGAGGTCAATGTGATCCCATATACATGTAGTGCCTGAGTGCAAACTTTGTGATACCTTTATTATTATAACCCCAAATGACTGAAAAGCGTTTACGGTTTATGCTGTGTGAAAATTTGCATTTAGTGACAGGATTCTATTTCTGTCATCTGCTAACTGAAACAAAAGAAAGTGTTTGATGAAAAATGTGATGCACTTTTTAGCTCCGATGTTGACTTTGTCGAGCGGAGCTTATCATATGAGTGATTGTCCATCGTTGTCTTTGTCAACTTATTTGACTCCTGCTTGGAAACTACAATTCTTATTGCTTTGATACTTGATGTATATGTACCTTGGGCAGACGTCTCTCAGATTGTTCATTCTGTGACGATATCTTCAATATTTCTGTCATTTTTAAAGAATGATATTTTCGACTCCTATTTGAAAGCTGCAAGTCCGATTGCTTTGATGTTATACTTATAGGTACCTCAGGTAAACCTCTCTGAGATTTGTTCATTTTCTAATGACATCTTCAGTTCTTTAATTGAAATGTGCATTGCTAACAGCGGAGCTATCTCAGCCGAGAGGCTGCTTGTTCAAAAAAAGCATCCTAAACCTGACCAATACGTTTTACAAACAAATGAATTCTATTGTTCATATAGAGTCAGATGTAAAATAATAATGACCATCTTGGTGCAAAGCATCCTAAACCTGACCAATACGTTTTACAAACAAATGAATTCTATTGTTCATATAGAGTCAGATGTAAAATAATAATGACCATCTTGGTGCAAAGCATCCTAAACCTGACCAATACATTTTACAAACAAATGAATTCTATTGTTCATATAGAGTCAGATGTAAAATAATAATGACCATCTTGGTGCTTTTATTGAGAACATTATATAATAAAATAAAAATGTTTCCATATTCACAACAAATAATATTTGAAATCAATTTGTTCATTTTGTAGTCTTGGCATATCCTGCTTTTCTTCTCTCTATTGAAGAAGATCTTTTAAAGACTAAACTAACAAGTCGTGTTATGGACAGTAAATGGGGCGGTAAATCAGAGATTATCAATGTGAAACTAAACACTGAACAGGCTTGTTACAGCAGAGATGCCTTGGCTAAGGCTATACATACTAGAATATTTGACTATCTGGTAGAGGTATGTAACTAAACACTGCAGGCATACATGCTTGGCAAGATTGGGCCAAACAGACATAATTCACTTTTGAGGAGGTTTAGTTTGGATTAAAGATTATACATGTTTTCATACTTTAATTATTATGGATTCATGCCAATTAAGTCATCAAATAATTTGTCAAGAAACTGTCTGAGTTGTTTTGTTTCCATGGTAAAGACAATTATTTATATTTATTTTATCAAAACATTGGTTTTCTATCATATATTGTTATTGATATGAATCCTAATATCTTTGAAAAAATTGACTTATATTTTACTAAGTTTGCAGGATGATTATGCATTGTCTTGTACCAGGAGTATCTTCTCTCCCATAATGCATTGTTTTGTACCAGGAGTATCTTCTCTCCCATAATGCATTGTTTTGTACCAGGAGTATCTTCTCTCCCATAATGCATTGTTTTGTACCAGGAGTATCTTCTCTCCCATAATGCATTGTTTTGTACCAGGAGTATCTTCTCTCCCATAATGCATTATTTTGTACCAGGAGTATCTTCTCTCCCATAATGCATTATTTTGTACCAGGAGTATCTTCTCTCCCATAATGCATTATTTTGTACCAGGAGTATCTTCTCTCCCATAATGCATTATTTTGTACCAGGAGTATCTTCTCTCCCATAATGCATTATTTTGTACCAGGAGTATCTTCTCTCCCATAATGCATTGTACCTTGCTCAATGACATGCAAAGTGGCGACAAATTTGAATATGGTGAGAAGAAGCTTAAAATAAAAAAAAGAGTTGTAGGGTAAGACTAAAACCTGAGTTATAGGGATTATACTTTTATTTCAGTCGATAAACCAAGCCATGGAGAAGGAAGATGAAGTTGTTAATATTGGTGTCTTAGATATTTATGGATTTGAAATTTTCCATAAAAATGGATTTGAACAGTTTTGCATCAATTTTGTTAATGAGAAACTGCAACAGATCTTCATTGAACTAACTTTGAAAGCTGAGCAGGTAATGTAGTATAGTGTTCTTTTTAGGTCCGCTGTTGACTTTGTCTAGCGGAGCTTATGATATGAGTGATTGCCCGTCGTCCGTGTCAATGTTTTACTTTTTCGACTTCTTCTTGAAAACTACAAGCCTGAATGCTTTTATATTACATTTATTGGTACTACATGTGGACCTCTCTCAGATTTGTTCATTTTGTAATGATATCTTTAATTCTCTAATTTTGGTGAATATTTTTGTAATTTTTGGTAAAAAGTGATATTTTCGACTTCTTGTTGAAAACTGCAAGTCCAATTGCTTTGATATTACATATATAGGTACTACATGTGGTCCTCACTCAGACTTGTTCATTTCATGTTGATATCTTCAATTCTCTAATTTTGATGAATATTTTTGTAATTTTTGGTAAAAAGTGATATTTTCGACTTCCTGTTGAAAACCGCAAGTCCAATTGCTTTGATATTACATATATAGGTACTACATGTGGACCTTATTCAGATTTGTTAATTTCATTGTGATATCTTCAGTTATCTAATTTTGATGATTATTTTTGTCATTTTTGGTGAAAAGTGATATTTTCGACTTCTTATTGAAAACCGCAAGTCCGATTGCTTTTATATTACATATATAGGTACTACGTGTGGACTTCTTTCAGATTTGTCCCGTTGCTTTTTATCTATATATTATTCATTTTATAATGATATCTTCAGTTCTTTAATTGTAATGTGCATTGCTAACAGCGGAGCTATCTCAGCCGACAGGCTGCTTGTTTACTTGTAGTTAGCCATCTTGAATTGCTATGACAACCATATATTAGCATAGCAAAATTAGCATATTGCTATGACAACAATAAGCATTGAATTCGCATATTGCTGGGGGATATATGTGATGTTGCACAACAAATAAATTTTAACAGCTTTTGAAAATTAAGTCATACTTACTTTTGTTTTCAGGAAGAATATGTGAGTGAAGGTATTAAATGGAAACCAATTGAATATTTCAACAACAAAATAGTGTGTGATCTAATAGAAAGCAAGGTAAGTCAGTTAATTTGTCAATAATAGATCACATTTTGTACCTTGGTTAAGGTGACAACTTTCATCGAGGGGCAATGCAAGGACAATAGTACTTGGCCATGGATAGAATTAAAACCAGCAACATCAAACACAGAAAGTCAAGCCTTTAATGTTATGATATTATTTACTACTGAGTATATAATGTCAATTTATTGCGTCTCCATCACATCACTTGTCACATAATTCATCCATAATTTTCCAGAGAAGTAAGACACTATAAAATGCTTCACATGCAAAACTTACCTGATTTTAATGTTACTGTTTTTATTTCTGAAACTGGTAAAAATAATGTTTGTAATTTGCATAATTGTGTTGTTTTAGACACCACCAGGTCTAATGTGTGTTTTAGATGATGTATGTGCTACTCTACACACAGTTACTGAAGGTGCTGATCAAACTTTCTTACAGGTGAGTTCAACCATAACACTGGATTACATCAACACATGCAGCTAACTACTAAAATTACATAAAACTATCAATCTTTTTCTCTGATTGTTATTTTTAATAAAACATTTCCTGTGTCATTAATATCAATTTGTAATGGCCATGTTGACATTTGGTCATCATTTATGTGGTTATGTTCAAAATCCCAGCTATTGCCAATTTAAAAAAGCACTACAAATTCTTGATACCTTGCTGTTCAAAATGTGAATTACTCTGTGAATGAAGAAAGGGGTATCTAAACTTGTTTCAATGGAAGTAATAACTGAGATATCGCTATAGCAATAGATTCAGTCATTCTTGTGGCCATTTTGAATTGTATATTTGTTATAATTGAAAAACAAGTTTTTGAAAAAGTTCTGAGTTCTTTCTGAGTGTGAAGCCTGTTCTACTGAATTTCTGATGTGATTATTTGCTATATTTAGAAAGCAGATGCATCGGTGGGAAGTCATCAGCATTATCAAGGCACTAATGTAGGATTTATGATACATCATTATGCCGGAAAGGTAAATATAAATAATTTAATTTATTCCATTTTTGTTATTTTCAGTTTCACTGGATTGGATTCTATATAGGTGTATATGTACATTTGTATGTGTTGATAGGTTTGATATTTAAATGTCATTTAAATATAAATTATACATACCCGATTCTGCCATAAATTTGTCCATCGGAAAAATCGTCGTGGGCAGTTTCACGGCTGGTGAGCCCTTATTTGGGTTTCAAATTTTCAAAAAATGATCATCAAATATTTTTAGGGGGCTTTTATTAGTCCCCATTCGGACGAAGTCCGAAAACGAGGACTTATAATTCGGTCTCCGTCCGTTCGTGCGTCCGTGCATCCATCCATACATTTTGTTGGATAAAAAAAGTAGACCACGCATCTTTCTCCCAAAAAATCACATTAACTAATCTTGTGCACCAAATACAATTATTTTGTTTCATTTTATACGAAAGTATATTCTAAAAGAAGTTTCAAATAAAAACGAACCCAGTGCATTACTCAGTAGCAAATGATCGCGGTAGCACAATCCGGTCATGCTGCCTTTCACAATTGTTGATTATTACCTAGTAATGATTATAATAACGTGAAAAAAATAAATTCATTGAATTTGTTAAATTTCAACTTATTTCATCGTAAGCGAATGATTCTGATCGCATTTTCAACACTCAATGCTGTAGAAATGAATATCCACCATGTTTGACCTGGACGGTGTTCCTTGACCTGACAGGTCAAATTGATAATTAACCAATGAAAACGATGGATTATGCCAACTTGTTCAAATTACCATAGCTCATTTAAATATGTTAATATTATTGAACGCAGCACAGAAGGGATTTTCCAATGTTGTTGTACAATGTTTTGCTTGGATTTTGATGGGAAAGCAACATGATTTTTTTTTAAATGAAAAAATTATTTGTTTTTAAAAGATAAACTGAGCATTTGAAGAATAATTTAACATTGTTTACAGCTCCTTGTCGAAACGAAGCTACCCATTCATGCTAGTCGCAATAAACATCAATACTCTTGAATAGGCGTTATTGACTACAGCTAAACTTTTAGGCATCAGAAAAGATTAAAATAACACCTTAAAAAACTGCAGAAAAATCGCGGGTGATTTCTTGGTCCCATTTTATTTTTAACTTCATGTTGAAAACCGCAAGTCTGATTGCTTTGATATTATACATGTAGGTTCATTTGTTCATTTCGTGATGATATCTTCAATTTTCTAATTTTGATGAATATTTTTGGTAAAAAGTGATTTTTTCGACTTCTTGTAAAAAACGGCAAGTTCGAATGCTTTGAAATTACATGTATAGGTACTACATGTGGATCTCTTTCAGATTTGTTCATTTCATGATGATACATTTGTATCTTTAATTCTCTAATTTTTATGAATATTTTGTCATTTTTGGTAAAAAGTGATATTTTCGACTTCTTGTTGAAAACAGCAAGTCCGATTGCTTTGATATTATACATATTGTTCATTTTTTGATGATATCATGAGTTCTTAATTGGAATGTGCATTGCTAACAGCGGAGCTATCTCAGTCGACAGGCTGCTTATTTTAAAAACCCGAACTGCGGTTTACGGCAGAATCCAGTACTAGGTAAATCATGGTCATTGGGTGGTAATGACATATAAACCATATGTGTAAAGCAAAAATGGTTTATGTGCTCTAATCACCAGGTACCCATAGTTTTGCTGTGTTTATCCAATTGGAAGAGAACATATTGATGTTCGTTAATCAGCAGACCTTTTTTATTGGCAGGTGGCTTATGAAGCTGATGGTTTCTGTGATCGTAATCGAGATGTACTATTTACTGATTTAATTCAACTGATGCAGTCAAGTGAAATGTAAGTATCTGATATAGAGACTTGTAGATTCACCTCTATGTTTTTCGTCTCAGACATGCATTAGGACCAATAACATTCAGGCTTCACACATACTGTAAAATACTTACTGAAGGTATGATTTGGTGAAAATAAAATCCTGTTAATATACCTATTCTCCTATATTTTACATTCAACATCATGCTATATTATGCAAATGCCTTTATTCCGCGATCCAATTCAAGATGGACCAAGAGCAGACAGACACTTTTGAGCTAAAACTTCAATCATAATTGGCGATCCGCTCCGCTAGGATTTCCCTTAAAATCACTTTTGTCGTTTTGTGTGTGTGTCTGTGTGTGTACATTTCCAGTGTTTTCACGTATGAATTCTTCTGCGATTTTTTTGGCTTGGCCGATTTCGTTCAAACTTGGCAGGTAGATCACACCTTCACCCTAGTGATTAGGAAAAATCTGAAAAAAATTTTTGAAAAAAACTGATTTTTGGATAGCTTCGCGCCAAATGTATCTCCTCCTACAAATTTGGGTTAAAACACTTCAGACATAGCTCATTCTACTCAGCTTGAGTGTGGGCACAAAGTTACTATTTGAATTTTTGATATCTGTTTTCATTACCGAGAAATTTGACCCCAAAGTTGGGGTAACTTTTCACCAGCAACAGCTTTTAACTCCTCTGTGATTTTTCGGCTCGGCTGGTTTTGTTCATACTTCACAGGTAGGTCGTGCCGTCACTAATTGGAAAACAATCCTGGCCCACCACTGCCATTGCAACATCCAAAAACTGATTTTTGAATACTTTCGCCCCAAATGTATTACCTTCTACCAGTTTTGTACACAGTCAGCTGGCATCGGTGTCGATGGGTGCATATGATAGAGAGAAGTTGTGCAACCAAATTTGCCGAGTTCGCAGTTTTTCGCCAATAAAAAAATAACTAAGGCAACAACTCACGGTTTTTCAGCATTTTTGTAATAAAGACATTATTCGCTATCAATAATCCGCCCAAAACAGGAACATTTCTACTAATTCTTGTGTTTTTTTGACGTTTTTCGAAAAACCTGCGA